AGGAAGTGAAATTAATACCTAAATGGATGTATAAGCTTCTCTAAGATGTTCAGGACCACCAGCAGCCCTCCGTCGCTGTGTGTTGCGCTGGTGGGCCTTTGGGTTTGGGTGACAAGCTAGCTGAAAGCTCCCTTCCTTGGCTACTGAGTGCAGTATGAGCTTTAATTAGATCAGCTGAATTTCTTCATGGCCTATGGGCTTGTTGATGCAGAGACCAGTCTTTCCCCATAGGCATCTTGCTCAGCCTTCACCAAATGGGTCTTTTGCCTTTGATTTGGTTACCAGGAGCTTTAGTTGATTAGTGTTATGATTCAGGCAAGGAAACTTTAATATGTCTCCATGTGGTTTCTTTTTTTTTTTTCCCCTGCTTTTTAGTTGCTGGAATTAAATGTGTAATTTTTAATGGGGATCCTCTTAATTAAATCCACTGGCTGGGTGGGATGAGTTGGCTGGAGGCCATGGCAAGGCTCTGCTGTGACCTTCTGCAACATCTCCAGCGCTCCCACCCTGTACCAACACCCCCCCGGCACGAGGGTTGTCGTTAGTGGTGATGATTTTAAGAGACATCCATGGTTGTAAGATCAATGTTGGCTTTAGCAACGAGCCTCCCAGCCCTGCCTGAATGTTTTATTTAGTTAGTTCTCTGATAAAAGCTTTGACCTACATCTAGCACCAGAAAGCGACGAGGCTTTGATAACACTCAGGCATCCTGGCAGAGGGCACGCTGCTAACCGAGCCTCCAAGTCGAAAATGGTTGTGCCCTTTAAAATAAAATCAGAAAAAACAATAAAGGTTTCAGTCATTAAACAGCTTTATCTCTGCCAGGAAATACATAGTCGAGTTTTGATGGAGAGGATGTACCTCTTTATGAACTGTAGATGTTAGGAAAAGTGTTTTCTATTTTAAGTTACAGGAAAACAAATCAAAAGCCAAAAATAACCCCAATTTTCCATGATATGAGGGCGTTGGTGATGGAAATGGGCTGGACCACTCGGGGTGCTCAGTGGTGAACCAGTTATCTGGGGTGGTAAAAAATAAAGGTCCTATTTGCCCCGTCCTTCACTGTACATGTTTTAGATGCGGTCTGTCATCTGGAGCTCTCAGCCCTCTGTACGAGGCTGTCTCGCAGGCATCTGTAATGGGTGTCCTTTCTAAAACACTTGCTGTCTTTAAAAGCAATGAAGACAATGTCTGGGAGGAATGAGGCAGAGAGGTTTGCAGCCCTATCCTCTCGGCAGCCAGCTGTAGCCCAGGAGTCAGTGGGAGGTCAGCAACAGCAAGATGAGAATTAGCATCATTGCCCTGACAAATCAATAGTCACGGGGTGATGCTGAGGGACCACTGCTGCACTGTGGTGTGGCCCCACATTGATTTACGCCACTTATCTGGGGGGTTGCTCTGGGCCATCACCCATTTGTGTACTCATGTTGCATGTTTTGTGGGTTTTTTTCCATCTTTCCAGGATGAACTTGACCTCACGGACAAGCACAGAGAGGCCATGTTCGCGCTGCCGGCGGAGAAGAAGTGGCAGATCTACTGCAGCAAGAAAAAAGTAAGAGACATATCTGCACTGTGGCCAGGGACTGAACCCCTTCCCTCCTATGAAGGGTTGGGAGGAGACGCTGGGGGGATGCAGCTCCATCTCTGGGTGCCAAGTGCTTTTTGGGATGTCACAGAAATACATCTGTTCCCTGTTGAAGTGACGACGACCAGCGAGGTTTTGGGTCTCCAAAATGCATAGCCCTTCCTCCCGAGTCCATTCAGGCTGGAGGATGCTTTCCAGTTTGCTGCCATGAAACAAGCTTGGGTGTCATTCTTGTCCTCCCACTGGCTCTTCCCAGAGCCCGGTGGTGTGGAGGTTGCTTTTAGGTGAAGCTGTGTCACCCCTGGGGCGATGAAGGGCTTTAGGTTCACGTTCACGGGGTGTAACCGAGATAGCACTGATAAGAGAGGAGGGTTGATGCGAGCCATCCGTCTGCCGGCATGACATGTCCTGTCTGCCATGCTGCCTCCACGGCTGCGTTTCTCAGGCTGAAAACATACACAGAATCTTCCCAGTGCTCAGGTACACTGATGGCTTTTCTTCCTGGGGGCGTGCAGCCCAAGTGGTGTGGGTACTGTGGGATGGCAGCCTGCGAAGTGGCCAAGTTTTTTCCCCAGTAAACAAGATTTTTACACATTTATGTTGGCAGTTAGTCCCAGCTATCTGTGCTGTGACTCATTTTCCCTCCCACCCTTGGCCAAAGCAGAAATCCTGCAGGACGTACAGCCATGGGGAGAAATGGGGCAAAAATCCTCAGTCTCGTAAGCAGATGGAAGAACACTAAGGCCTGCGAGGGAAATTCCCCCAGCTGGGGGCATGGGCCTGTAGGAGCGAGTCCAGAGGAGGCCACGGCGATGCTAAGAGGGCTGGAGCCCCTCTGCCATGGGGACAGGCTGAGAGAGTTGGGCTTGTTCAGCCTGGAGAAGAGAAGGCTCCGGGGAGACCTTACAGCACCTTCAAGTACTTAAAGGGGGCTTATAAAAAAGGTGGGGACAGACTCTTTAGCAGGGCCTATTGCAATAGGGCAAGGGGTAGTGTTTTTAAAATAAAAGAGGGGAGATTCAGACTTGTTATTTAGGAAGGCATTTTTTACAGTGAGGGTGGTGAAACCCTGGCACAGGTTGCCCAGGGAGGTGGTCGATGTCCCGTCCCTGGAGACATTCAAGGTCAGGCTTAAAACGGGGCTCAGAGCACCGTGATCTAGTTGAAGATGTCCCTCCTCACTGCAGAGGGGTTGGACTAGAGGTCTTTAAAGGTCCCTTCCAGCCCAACCCATTCAAACCCAAATCACCCAAACTGTGATTTAGTTCCTAAATTTGCCACTGTGTCCCCTAACCTGGCTGCAGGAGTTGGCTGGGCAGTGCTGGCAGTCGCCTGGTCCCACTCACTGCCATTAATACCTCTTTTCTCCCGCTGTACCAATGGCAACAGATTTTCCAGCCGCATTTTAGGCCAAGAGCAGGCTTACCTTGCTCATGTAGGATTAAGTTTTAAGCCTCTCATAAATACCCCTGAAATCCCTGTATTATTGTTAGACAGAGGCCTGCCATGCCCGAGATTTAAATCGGAGGGGAGGAGAGATGTTAAATTACAGGCACTGGTCTGAATCAACAAGAAAATGGTCAGGGGATGCTCCCTCATCCCTGCCTGTTGGGTAAGTGAAGCCATGCTACGGTGCATCTGGATAAGGGGAGACAACAGAGACTTAAATCAAGCAAAGCTGTGTAATTATTACTGTGAGTGGAGATTACGTGCTATCTAATCTCCAGAGGAAGGATTTAGATGGGGTTGATGGTGCCTCTTTCCCATTCCAGCACCTCCTTGCGCTCATGTTTTTTTTTTTAAAAAACGTGCTGACAAACTCACTGGTCCTGGAGGGTGTGGAAAGAAGTGTCCCGTGACATCCTCAGAGGTCCTCGGGGCAGGCACCCATCCTAGTCTGGATCCTGACTGCTCTTCTGCTCTGGTCCTCATTCTTCTGGCTGCTCTCAGACGCCCCTTCCCTACTCGTGATGCCATCTCAGTGAGGAGCCTACGTGCCATTGCTTGCTCTGAGATGTGCTGGTGGAGAAGAATGCTTTTCTCCTGCTTTTTAGTTAAAAATGAGCAAGACCATATCAGCAGAGGTTCCAGCAGTGGAGGAAGCCAGGAATCATGAGCTTGAGAACATGTCTCTATGTATGGCAGACTCCAGGCAGTCCTATTCCTATGTGATGAGGACAGGTAGGCAGCAGAAACACCAGTGGCTATCCCAGCGGCTCGTGGTAAATCTTACTCGTGTACCTATGTGTTTATGAGGACGAATCATGGTAGCCTGGCATGGAGGAGAGGGTCTGGGCTTCTACAGGTAAGACCAAGGGCTGGGTTTCAGATGGGGCAGCAGAGCTGGAGACAGGGCAGGGGTCCTACCTCCCTGCCTTGGCTGCAGCCTGAGTGGCAGTGATTTGCAAAGTCCAGGATGCGCCCAAACCCTTTGGCCTGTCTGTGTTTCACAGCAAGTTGTTGCTTGAGATGCTGGTAACACCCAGTTTCACCTGGTGGGGTCACAGGGTTTGGAAAAGGTAAACATCAGTTGCAGGCAGCTGCCTGACTTCCCAGGGATCCAAAATTGTTCCCTGAGCATTTTTTGCTCTTTCCTCTGCTGCCAGTTTTGGCAAGGGCAAGGGCACCACACTGCAGAGGTGTGCACAGCATAGAAATCATCTGAATATCTGTCCTTTCAGCGCATTCCCTGCTGCCACGTGGCGTGTCTGGCACTTCTGCTTTTCTGTCAGTGTCATCCGTCATATTCAGCTCTCCAGAGTGCATACCAGTTGTTGCACATTTTATACATTTCCATGATGGGCAAGATTGGGTAAAAGGTGACCAAAACGAGACATTTTGCTGTGCTGGACTGTCCTGGAAAGGGACCTGGCAGCACCTGGACTTGGCAGTGTTCGTCGAGGGGAAATAAGGGAAAACCAGCTATTCCCCAGGCATACTTCCATCCCTGAAATATTTCCCCCTGGCCTGCAGCCCCAGATCCTGGTTTCTTTGCCCTGCAAACAGCTGTTTTTATCCCAACCCACAGTATCAGCTTGGCAGAGCGGAGGTTTTGTCCTCCCCAATTCTCCATCCTTGGAGACACTGGGTCTGATCTCAGCCTTGACCCTGCTCGGAGCAGAGGGTTGCAGTAGATGAGCTCCTTGTGGTCTCTTCCCACCTGCATCACCCTGTGGTGCTCTGGAGTGGGGCAGAGAGATAAAAAGCATCTCATGATGGGGGCTGGAGAGTTTGTCAGCAGTGACCCGAGCGGGAACTGAAGTCTGCATTAAATCCAGCAGCCATGCAGCACTCAGGTCAGGAGAGGGATATAAAGATTATTGGAGAGACCTTCTTGGAAGTCGTCAGCCCCCTCTATGGCTGTAATAAAGCAGGGAAATGCAAAGGTGGAGATGCATTAACAGCAGGATGAAATCTGCTTTTAGAAGTGGTATTTCTGGATGATGACTCGTTTCATACCTCATCCCGAAATATTTCGCTCCCTGCTGGCCCCGCTCTCCAGGAGAGGATATTGCTTGGAAGCACAGAGAGGAAGGAGGAGGGTTTCCAGCTTGACCATTTCTTTGGCTGCAGGTTTGCTGCAGTGGAAGAGGGTGACTCAGGATGGCCTTTCTCAGGAGGCCAAGCTTCAAAGGGAGTTAATAATTAACACTTTGCGCTTAGTCTGCAGCACCTCTTAATTGCAGGAGGTCTGGCTCCTGCCAGAAGATGTATGCACAGTCAAGCTATTAAAGCAGCTCACCAGGAGATTTTTATGAGCGTCAAAATATGGGTGGATGCAGGGGTGTTCAGGCAGAAACTCAGCATAAATCCCTTCCCACGTGGAAGGGATCGGTAGTGAAAACCAGTTCATGTGAATGTAGGGTCTGGTTCTGTCCCCCTCCTTTTCGATTTTGCTAAGCTGTCTGAGCATTGGTAAAGCAGGGATATGGGAAAAATGACCTGCTGGGATGTGGGAAAAATGACCTGCTGGGATGCCAAGTGATGCTGCACTCTTTAAGCTCATGTTGAAAGCCTGTTGGCATCACTAACGCTGGATGCATTAGCTCTCAGTGGTGTTAAGCAGTCCCCTGCAAGCAAAACTTATATCTAAAATTTCCTCAGACATCAGATGTAAAACCAGGATCCCTTCACATTAGGAGAAGGCAGTGGTGCTGCTTTTGCAGGGGAGAATGGGGAAAACTGTGATAAATAGGGAAATGAGTGATGGCTCATCAATAATAGCATATTTCCCAGCCAGACAGCCTCTTTCCTCTCTAACTGTGCCTTCCACCCACTCCCTCCAGAGAGCTTCATTTTCCAGCTTGCTCTTCCACTCGTCTTACTCAGTCCTGCAGCTCGTTCATGGGGCTCGTGTTGCTATTTCCTTCATTTCAAAAACATCTTTTTTCTTTTTTCTCTGCAGTAGCAGAACTAAGAGAAAAAGCTGACAAAGGTGGCATGCAAGGGGAGGACGAAAAAATAGCTGGGCGTTTTGCCACGCTCCTAGGTCACTTGGGATGGACGAGAAGTGTTCCAGTGCCCCTGAGCATCCAGACGTACCTGCGGTTATTGCAGCGGCAGGTTGAAATATCATCTCAGTTGTCATTTGCTCAGGCTGACCGAGAGAAACAGGCTGTTTGCATGGCTGGAGGTATTTTTCAATAGGAAATGTTTATAGTTTTTATCCTTAAAGGTAATTCCCGTTTTAGCTCCAATCACAACACACTTTTGTTTAAGCGAGGCTTTTCTCCCACCCCAGCCAAAAAAGGCATCTGTTAGCAATCTTTTTGGATTTTAAAGCGAAGCTTTTCAAACAATGAACCAGCTGACTACGAAAGGCATCTGGTCATGCTATATTTGCTTATGGGGAGCATAATTTTTAAACCCTGGGAAAAGCATACAAGGGCATATGTGTAGAGGAGAAGGTATAGGAAGTGTTAACATATGGGAAACAGAGTGGTCTGGGATGATTCTGACCCCAAGAT